AGTGTGTCAGCGAGTGTTGGAATACCCTCACTAGGGCCAACTGCTGGGTGACCACTGGCAGACTATAAAGGGACAGGATAGCGGAAAACATAACACAGGGTAATTTTAAGGGGGATAGAGCCAGTTCACAGGGCAAGGACAGTGACGATGCAACCTGAAAATGGGGCTGCAGCCTCGAGTCGTCGCCAGTCACCTGGAGAAGGGCAGTGTCCAGCCAGCTGGTCTGCTGAAAGTGGCCGTGGCCCGTGCTAGGAGCTTTCTTTCACCCGAGGACGAGCATACAGACATGTCCCTCACGGTCCCACAGTCCTATCCCTGAAGGTGGCACAGGGCTGCCTTGTCAAGGGCAGTGGGCATGTCACTCAGGACTCCAGTAAGCTCCAAACAGCCCACAAAAACCCACGTTTCCAGCCCTCCTTAGAGGTGCTGCTTGCCAGCGGGAACTAAGGTGCAGGCCAGAAGCCATAACTCCAAAGAAGCCCCACTGACCCAGTTCTGGACCAGTCTGATTCAGTTCAGACGCTGCACTAACCTTGCAGATGACCTCAGGATCCATTGTCATAACAAAGACACTGAACCTGGGTGGCTTAGTTGGTTAAGCCTCTGCCTCCAGCTCAGGTCATGATCTCAGGGTCCTGGAATCGAGCCCATCGGGCTCCCTGCTCAGCGGTGAGTGTGTTTCTCCCTCTGCCTCTGCCTGCTGCTCTGCCCCCCCACCCCAGATAAATACATAAAATCTTGAAAAAAACCCCAAACACCTATTAGTGCACTGACAAATCCACCTGCACCTATTTAAGGGAAAAAAAGAGGTGGCAGTCTGAATCCAAGACAGCCCTCTTCCTCTTCCCTAAAAATCCCCTAGTCAGCTGGCTTACCAGCCCTTTAATTACCCTAACCCCATATAACCCTGACCATGAGACCAAATCAGGAAGAAGATACCTTCAGAGCTTGAGCTCCCCTTCACCATTCTCTGGTCATTGAATAAATTACCAGCTTGCTGTGAAATGCCGTTTGGTTATTTCACAAATAGTTTTGCGTAGGAAAAGAACAGGCCACTTTGGTAACCGTTGGGCCTCTCAGGTTCCACCACTAGCCCTCGCTGTGGGCATACCTGCGAGAAACCCAGACAACAGCGGCCACTTTGCTGAGTTTGGGACCTCAAAGAATCTTTAATCTGTGCGCTGAAGTGTCCCCAGTCGTAGACCAGACGTCTGGGACACTGGCCGCAGCACAGCGACACTGTTGAGTTGAACCCTGGGGGGAACCAGAAGGCATGTGGGGGAACCTCTGAGAAGGAAGCCCCCTGGGCCAGCAGCTTTGCTCCAGGTGCTGGCAGGGGGTAAATCTTCCCCCAAAGAGAGAGCTGTTCCTCTCAGCAAATAGGTGACACTGGGGGCAGGGTGACTGCACCCAAACATATGTGGACTCAGTCAGATTGCTTGAGATGTCCGGCTGAGTGACAAGGCCAGGGGTCAGGCATTCAGCTCTGTGAACTGGTTCGAGGCCCAGTGCCACAGCCCACTTCCGGGTCCCCATGACCTCCGGTTTCCGCCCGGGGCTTTGTGTCCCCACCTGGGTCTGTGCGGCAGTCGGGTGCAAGCCTTCGGGCGCAGGGCGCACCTCGCAGGACGATCACAGTCCGACGGGGTTGTCATCTAGGAGCTTTTCCTGTGTGACAGTGACGCAAGCCCTGGGTTGGGGGCAGTGCACAGCCAGCTGTCAAGGGCCCTGCCAGGAGCTGGGACGGGTGCAGAATGACAGCAGGCCGTTCCTGACAGTCACTCATGGGCGCCTCGACCTGCTTGGCTTCTTAGATGACCAGCCACAGAAACTGTTCAGTATCGGGAGAGGGGTCAGCCGTGGTCTGGGCACTCTGCAAGGATTTTCAGACACCACTTTCTGCCGATGGCAACACCTCTCCCAACATCAGTCTTCAAAAACCCATGTAGCCCTTGCATGTATGTTTCATTGTGAATCACATATTTATGTATATTTCTATGTCCATTTTCTGAATGCCATAAGGGCTGGGATTTGTCTTTATTCCGGGGTGAGTTCTGAGCACCTTGAATTTGTCGGACAGGTTCCCTTATGTTTAAGAAGCTGTTCGATTACCAGTACTGGCCCTGGGCCATTCTGGCAGCAGCCTGGACATCTGTCTTTGCACAGAGGGATTCTGGAGGGAGGCACAGTTGGAGGTGGGTCTCCAGCACCCAGAATGCTGGCCCTCCCCACTCCTGTCCATTCTTTGGCTTCAAAAATACTAGCAGCCAGACCTATATGCTGCAGGAAGGACACTGGAAGACACTTACTGGGGAGCCTGGCCAGCCCAAAGGAAGGACTTAGAGACACCGGTGGGGCGTTCTCCATTTAACAGCTCCTCACCCTGAGCAGTGCAGAGTCAAGCTCAAATTCAATGAGCCCCACTTGCAAACCTATTTCCAAACAGCCCTTTGGCCTGTTCCTCCTCATGAGCAAATAAACACTATCCGCCAGCATGTAAAGTGTCTTCCTGGAAGAAAGAAACAGAAGAAACAATTTGGAGCAAACCTCCCAAAGCAGGAGAATGCCATTTTAGAGTTCCTTTTTATATCCTCAGACATCGCCTCCTTGAAGAACAGCACATTTCTCTAAGAACAGACATGTGTGGAAGAAGAGCTCTTGGAAATTAAACTCTGTGACAGCAAAAACAAAAGCCTCATGGGGAGAAATCCTGCAGAAAGCAGAGCAACAGGTAAAGATGGAAAACAGGAGAGAATACACTGAGCATCCAAGGTTCAGTCTGAAACCTCTGACGTCCTAAAGTAGGAATTTCATTTTATTTTTATTTTTTTAAGATTTTATTTATTTATTTGATACAGAGAGACAGTGAGAGAGGAAGCACAAGCAGGGGGTGTGGGAGAGAGAGAAGCAGACTCCCTGCTGAGCAGGGAGCCTACTTGGGGCTCAATCCCAGAATCCTGGAATCATGACCTGAGCCAAAGGCAGACACGTAATGACTAAGCCCCCCAGGTGCCCCTAAAGTAGGAATTTTAGAAAGGGTAACAGCACATGGGGGATAAATCATTGGTGGAAACAACTGATTAGTGAAATAACCTATGAAAGAAGTTCCCAGGACTGATGGACAGAGTTTCCATCTGAAACTGATGGACAAGTTTCCATGGACAGACTTTGAGTTCCCAACATAGTGAAAGTCCAGACACATGGAGGCACCACACTGTGAAATTTCAGCAAATGATCCTAAATATTTGCAGGGCGGAACAAGCCTCCACTGTGGTAAAGGATTACAAATTTGAGTGCCTATGAATCTTTTTTTTTTTTTTTAAAGATTTTATTTATTTGAGAGAGAGTGAGAGAGAGCACGAATGGGGGGATGGAGAGCGGAAGAGGGACAAACAGACTCCCTACTGAACAGAGAGCCCAATGCAGGGCTCAACTCCATGACCCTGAGATCATGACCTGAGCTGAAAGTCAGATGCTTGAGCCACTGAGCCACCCAGGTGCCCTTGCCTGTGAGTTTCCTAACCGCACTCCTAGAAGGGATGAGACAATGCCTTCACAGGCTGAAGGAGGAGGTCTCTAACCTAGAGTTCTATGCTTAGGCAAACTACAAATCAAGTGTGAGGGCGAAACCAAGACATTTTCAGGTTTGCAGTATCGTTAAAAAAATGATCTCCCAGACACCTCTTCTCAGTTTCACCCAAACAGGTGAGTGAATTAAGAAACAAGAATAGATGGCCAAGGAGGGCCTGCACAGGGGGACAGGAGGAAATCCTCTGGGACATGGAGAGGGGAAAACCCAGACAGAAAGACCATCTACCCAGTCTGGAGCTGACTTAGGAGTGGTAGCTGAAGGCTGCAGAGCCTCCCATCCCGGCCACCCCCACTGGCTGGAACAGGGGGCCACAGAAAGTCCACAGAAGCCTCCCGGTGGGTTAGGACGGCAGGATCTAGCGCATGACTAAGAAGGAATGACGTGCCCTAACACCCTGTTACAGGAAAGCCTTTGGGCAGAGGGCAGAAGCTTTCTAACCCTCACAAGACAGTAGAGAACGGACCTTCCTGAATTAGGGCCGTTCTCTAGAAAGGCCTGCGTGCTTGAATATGCACGAAATGTCTCCTGGGGTGGGTGGTGGGGAAGAGGCACGTGCGAGAAAGTTCTTCACTTACCCTTTCTCTTGAACTTTGTACCTCATATGTATAAACTCCTGTGACCACACACACTCAGAAGAGCCCCACTTCGGACGTGCTCAGCTCTCCCCGCCCCACCCTGACACCACAGTCCCCCTCGGACTTTCATCCATAGGCTCCCCGGGGTCCCAGGGCGAAGGCGCTCACGGCGCTTTTCCGCGGCAGGAGAGAGGCACCTCCTCCACCTTCTGGTCGCCTTTCCCAGGTCTCCTTCGGAAGGAGACACGAGCCGCCCGGCCGACCGGCGCTATCCCGCCTCCGTGGGGACACGCGCCCACATCGGCCAGCAGCAGGCCCGCGCCCCGCGCACAGGCCGAGGGCGGGCATACTCCCACCCAGCGGCGCTCGCCCACACTCCGCCCGGCAGCCGAAACGTGGGGGCATTTCTCGCGGAAGCCCCAAACCCAGCCCATAGGGTCACGTGGTGTGGCAGCCGCCCGGGTAAGGCCGCACATCTTGCTCCTCGCTCCACCTACCCGCCCCGCCCCCCCCTATCGCCCCCCCCCCCCTCGCCCCGCTCACCCCCCTCCCGCCCCGCCCCGCCCCTCCGTCCACCTTGAGCCCTCGCCCCGCCCCTCCCCATCGCCCCGCCTCCAGCCCCGCCTCTCCCACCTTCAGCCCTCGCCCCGCCCCCATCGCCCCGCCTCCAACTCCTCCCCTCCCGTCCGCCTCGAGCCCTCGCCCCGCCCCTCCCCGTCGCTACTGTCCCGGCTCGCCGTGCGCCCCCAGTCCCGTCGCCGGACGCCCGGTGCCCGGACCCGGTCCCGCCCCTCCCCATCGCAGCGCCTCCAGCCCCGCCCCGCGCCCCACCTCCCGCCCCTGCCGGGTATCCTCCGAGCTCTCCGCGCTTCGGGGCGGCGGGGGCGCACGGGGACTGCCCGGGACGGCGCGATGGAGTCGAGCGGAGGCCGCGCGGAGGGCTCGGCCCGCGGCCCGCGGGTGCTGGTGGTGGGCAGCGGTATCGCGGGGCTGGGCGCCGCGCAGAGGCTCTGCCGCCACCCGGCCTTCCGGCAGCTGCGGGTCCTGGAGGCCACTGCCCGCGCCGGCGGCCGCATCCGCTCGGAGCGCGGCTTCGGTAACGGCCTCTCCCGGAACCCCTTCCCCGAGCCCATTTCCGGAACTCAACGGGTGCGGCCCGGGCTCTGCCGCTCGGTCAGCCCTGCACCCGGGGTTGGCCGACCCGGAAGCCTTGCCTGCCCTCCCCCGCCCCCCGCCTTAATGAGGCCGAGTTCACTGGTGCCCGAAACTCAGCTGTCCCGTTGGCAAGGCCGGCCCCTGCCGGGGAGGGTAGCCTGTGTCTCTGCAGTCCTTCTGGTTGTGTCCCTCGAGGAGCTCCCGCTCCAGCCTCCGGGTCACCCCCAGGCACCCCTTCTGCCCCCGTGGCGGCTCTCTAAATGTCCTCTGAAGGCGGGCGCAGGCCAAATGTTGCCCTTAAACTAGGTCTGAGCAGGCCCTAGGACTGTAGTCTTCAGGGACCCTGTGTCCTCGGGTGGGGCTCTCAGAGCATGTCTGGGGAGGGCGGGGCTGGTGCGGTCCGGGAGAAGGGCTCAGGGTTGACCTTTGTGGGGAGACAACCTCAGAGTCTTCTCTGCTGCTCCTGCCAGGTGGTGTGGTAGAGCTGGGTGCCCACTGGATCCACGGGCCCTCACAGGGCAACCCGGTCTTTCAGCTGGCTGCCAAGTACCAGCTGCTGAGGGAGAAGGACTTGTCAGAGGAGAACCAGCTGATTGAAACTGGGGGTCATGTGGGCCTGCCCTCCGTGTCCTATGCCAGCTCTGGGGTAAGTGTGAGCCGTGAGCTGGTAGTGGAGATGGCGAGTCTGTTCTATGGTCTCATAGACCAGACTCGGGAGTTCCTACACACGGCCGACGCCCCAGTGCCCAGTGTTGGGGAGTACCTCAAGAAGGAGATCCGTCAGCGCGCGGCTGGCTGGACAGAGGATGAGGAGAGCAGGAAGCTCAAGCTGGCCGTCCTCAACAGCTTCTTCAATGTGGAGTGCTGTGTGAGCGGGACCCACAGCATGGACCTGGTGGCCCTCGTGCCCTTCGGGGAGTACACCGTGCTGCCTGGGCTGGACTGCACCTTTCCTGGGTATGTGCATGCCCCACCCACCGAGTCAGCCCTCCGTGTGCCGCCTCCAGGCACCCTGGGCCCCCTCCATGTATCCCAGGCCTCTCCATGCACCCTTGTCCCCCTTCATGTACCCTGGGCCTCTCTTCATGTACCCTGGGACCCCCTCCATGCACCCAGGTCCCCCCTGAGCCTCCCCCCCCCCTTTATGGACCCTGGTCCGTCTCCAGGTACTCTGGTTCCCCTCCATGCACCCTGGGACCCTTTCCATTTACCGGTTGAGCTTTGGGAAGTAGGGGAAGGGTGAGAGGGTCAGGAGGCCATTTGTCTTCCTCGTTTTAGAGAGATTGCCTGTTTGTTTCTCTAGTTTTGCTCACTTGGGAAAAAGAATTATTTTCAAGAAAAGATGATTAAAAGAAGGCCGTACCTCTCATCACACTTTCTTCCTCCCGTGTTTTTGAGGCCTCTCATGTGCTAAGTGCTGCGTAAGGCTCCAGCCTCTGTGATGGACAGATAGCCCACCCCTGTGGCGGGTGGCTGTCCCCCCACCGAGCACTCAAGAGGCCCTCACAGGACTGTCCCGCTGGGCTCTCTGGCATCACCACCCCAAGTCTCCCGGCAGGGGAGGGCATTTGTGATCAGAAGTAGGGTTCCAGGTGGGTTGGGAGGAGGCCTTGTCCTCCCACAATTACCTCCATTCGCTCATGCTCACCTGATCCCCTTGTTAGCCTGGGCAGTGGTGTCTGTGTTCCCGAGGAGACCCTGCCCTCCTCCCACCTTCCCTACAGGGCCTCCCCCGATGGCAGCTTCCTCTGAAAACGCCCACACCTCTGTGTCTCCTAGGGGCTACCAGGGGCTCACAAACCACATAATGGCCTCCTTGCCAGAGGACGTGATTGTTTTTAACAAGCCTGTGAAGACCATTCACTGGAACGGGTCCTTCCAGGAAGCCTTGTCTCTTGGGGAGACGTTTCCAGTGTTGGTGGAGTGCGAGGACGGAGCCTGCTTCCCTGCACATCACGTCATCGTCACTGTGCCCTTAGGTAAAGCCGTTTTCCCCGTCAGGGTTCCCTTTGGTCCCCCACCCCCGGGTCCGGGTCCGGTGGTAGCTCCCGTTTTCAGTCTAGCTCCCAACAGGGTTATTCTCTCGTGTTTGTAGCAGTTGCGTGCTTTGGCATTGAGTTTCACAATGAGAGAAAACGTGTGTCTTGCTCCTCCCAAGGACGTTTATGGGAAGGCTGGGACGGCCTCCAGTTCACCCAGCTGGGCTTTCTTGGAGACGGAAGTGGGTGTGAGAGCCAGCTCTCAGGTTCCGTCCTGGTGTAATCAAGGAATGGATCAAGCATATGGTTGTTTGATTCTAGATCTGACGCCCGAGACAGAAGCTCTTTTGGCAACTTGACAAAAGGTGGAGGCAGCTGAGCTGAGCTGTGCCTGTGCCGTCTCACTTACCCCACAGGCAGCTGGGGACGTGTATGTCCCTGTCCTCTTGGACAGAGGCGGACAGAATGACAGCAGTTAGTTGTGCAGGTTCACAAAGCTGGCAGGGCCCGAGCTGAGGGAAGGTGTGGGTTCCTGGGGTTCCTTCGGGATGGGATGTGGGCTGTGGTTAGCTAGCTCAGCACCCAGCTCCTCTCTCCCACACGTGCAACCACACTGGACGTACTAGCATCGTCTCCTGCTGCTGTTTGCCACCCCCTGCTTTCTCGGTTCATACGACTTCTGTCAATGTGCCCCAGTCAGCACCCCCCCGCCCCCGCTGGTGTCTGTGTTCATGCACAGTTGCAGGGCTGCCTGCGGAGCCCCTGCTCTCACCAGTGGATCCGTCACTGTGTCTGCTGGGGTTGCTCACCGGGAGCGGGGACACCGGTCACACTGGTTCTTTATAGGCACATAGTATTTCCTTGTATGTGAGGGTCGTTGCTGAATATTCCTTAGTTGATGGAAATTCAGCCTATTTTCACTTTTTTTGTTTCACAAAGCATTTTCCATCTGTGTGATGGAAACACAAACACTTGTGTGAATGTATCTGTGGCATAAATCACGGTGGTGGGAGCTGCTGGGCTGAGGGTCTGGGCAAATGAGACTGTGGGGGGTGGCGTGGGACCCCTCTGTGGGCCCTTGCAGCCTCTGTGGGTCTGTTTCCTCCTGGGCTGTTTGTCCTTTACTTACTGGCCTGCAGTTGTCTGTGTTGTAAGGAGACTGGCTTGTGCTGCGAAGAGTCCATCTTGTTGTCTGACTCTGGCCCAGAATTAAATTTTTTGGCATGCAGGTTATTTTTCCTGTGGCTTCTGGAGAGAGCCGTGGGTCGTGGTGCTTCTCCACACTACCCTGGAGCCGCGGGGTCTACAGACGTGGAGAGGCAGATGGGTTTCGAAGTGAGACAGTGTCCTACAGAGCCGTGCGGGTGGGGCATGACAACTCCACCTGCCTGAGCAGGTGGCCATGGGGCCTTTCATGTCCCTCCACTGCGGTGCTGATCACTGAGGCTGAGTCCCAGTGGCCAGAGCCAGCCCGGTTTCTGGGAGCCCAGCTGAGCCGGGGCTGGTGTGGGTCCCGAGTGGACATGGGCTCTGGATGCCTCCTTTCGCTGACTCCTCTGATGGGCATCCGGGTGGGTTCCTGTGGCTGTCAATTCCGGTTTATTAGATTCACGTGGTGTAAGTTGAGTCCACTGTGGATTCCAGGTTTTCTTAAAGAACATCTGGACACCTTCTTTGAACCACCACTGCCCACTGAGAAGGCAGAAGCGATCAGGAAAATGGGCTTTGGGACCAACAATAAAATCTTCCTGGAGTTTGAGGAGCCCTTCTGGGAGCCAGACTGCCAGTACATCCAGGTGGTGTGGGAGGACACGTCACCCCTGGAGGACGTCGCGTCTGAGCTGCGGCACGTCTGGTTCAAGAAGCTCATTGGCTTTTTGGTCCTGCCTTCCTTTGAGTACGTACGCTGCTTGAGTCTCTCTGAGGACCCGTCAGGGGTGAGCGTGGAGGAGCTGGTTCGTTGGCCCGAGTTTGGCTGTTGATTCACTGGGAGACATTTCTGGGGGATTTCTGGGTGGGATTCCAAGGCGCCCGAGAGCACTGATGACAGACACTGGGCTCTAACCACTGCAGGGCTGGATGGAAGCCTCTTGTAGGCAGCCTGTTGGCGTGTCTTAGGTGCTAGAATGAGCCTGTGGCCGGGAGGGCGTGTTCACTCAGTAAGAAGTGTTTGCTGAAATCCCCAGAAAGCTGGGGTGTGTAGGTTACAGAAGGAATTTGAAACATGGAAGGGTCTGTAACTGGGAGACAGTATTTCAACCTGATGCAGTAATTGAGGAGACGCCCTTGTGTTTCCTTATAACTCAGGAATCAAAGACCATCCGTGGCTAAGTTGGGTGGCTATGACGCACAGATCAAGCAGTCTGCGTGGGCTTGGTGCCGACTCAGAAAACAAGACCACAAGTCATTTAGGGACGGAGGGACGATTTTTCCCGCAAGAGCCAAAGACGTAGCCAGTGTGTGGTAGTCGATTGGCAGATGTGAGTCCAAGTTTCCACACAGAGACGTGGCAGGGTTGGGGACCATATTCTGGGCCTGGAGGACAAAACGCAGGGATGCCTTCCAGCAAAGCTCATCCCCAACAGCCAAAGGAGCTGGGTGCATGGGGCCCTCCCATCTAGGAGGGGACCTGCACGTGTCCTTTGCACTGAAGATAAAGCAGACATCCAGGGGCTTGGAAAGGTACCCAGGGCTGCGGATACGTAGTGGAGCAGTGGCTGGCGTGCTCGGCCAGCTGCCCCATCCCTGGCTCTGTGGCCTGTGCTCAGGACACTGGTGGAGACGACGGTCCTCAGGACACTCTGTGGTCCAGGACGGTGGCCCTCACACTTTGTGGTCTCTGGACCCCAGTTCATACTCTAAAAATATTGAGGGTTCCAAAGAGCATCCGTTAGGTGGGTCGTGTCTGTACATTTACCACACTAGAAATGAAAACTGTTAAATTTAAAAAATTTTTTAAAAATATTTTATTTATTTATTTATTTGAGACACAGAGAGAGAGAGAGAGAGAGAGCGAGCAAGCACACAGCAGGGGAGGAGCAGAGGGAGAGAGAGAAGCACATTCCCTGCTGAGCAGGGAGCCTGACTCAGGGCTGGATCCCAGGACCCCAGGATCAAAGGCAGATGCTTAACGACTGAGCCACCCAGGCACCCCAAATGTTTATTCTTTAAACTGAGTAAATCTATACCATGTTAGCATAGATAGCATCTTTTTTGAGGGAAGGGAGGGGCAGAGGATGAGAGAGAATCCCAGGCAGACTCCACGCTCTGCACAGAGCCTGGCATGGGGCCCGGTCTCAAGACCCTGAGACCACGACCAGAACTGAAATCCAGAGTCGGTCACCTGACTGAGCCATCCAGGGCCCCATTATACTTTTAAATGAAATCATGTTAACGTTTATTAAAGAAAAATAACTATATTTCTAAAACAAAGTTTAGCGAGGAGAGTAGCGATGCTTTGCCTTTTTTCCTCACCTCTACCGTCTGGTGTGATCCCGGACAGCTCGGCTCTCAAGGCTGTCGGAAGGCGGTGGGGCCGTGTCTCGTTCCACTTGAAGCGGATGAAACATCTCGACTCAGACACGCAGTCTGGAGAAGGGGTTGTGCTTAGTCTTCAGATGGTTGTGGGTGTTCTGTGAAATGGCACCGAAACTGAAGACGCAGTCGCTCCTCCTGGGTCAGGCACCATCTGGAGTCTGGAGGCTCGTCCTGGACGTCTGTGCTCCGAACTCTGCTGCCTGCGCTGCACGTTGAATGGGTCTTGCACACGTCCCTAGCTTGGGCACTCCAGACACTGATCTGTTTCATGTACGACCTCAAAGGATTACGTTTATTAATATCACCACGGATCTCAGGAAAGTCTCTTGGTATTGGGAACCTATCAAGCTGTTGGTGGCAGATACAAGTTTTCTAAAAATTGTAATTTTTGCTTGAGCGCTTAAATTTCTTCCTTGGCAGTAAATGATTGCAGTTGTTTTTCTCGTGATGGACACACTGCTCGTTTTCGAGAACCTGCCTGCCACACACCCAAGCTTGAATACTGGCCGCATTCTCTCAAGTAGAAACGGTGTTTGTGAGAGGAGCTACGCAGTTGGCAACTCCAGCCACCGCCCAGGGCTGTCCTGAAGACGGCGCCACACCAGTGTGCAGCAGAAGTGCTTTGTGCCGGATCTCGTTTTGTCACGAAGAATGTGAGCGGCGTGCAGTCAGGACTTGAGGTTTGATACAGTTAATGGCGTGGGCGGCTTCATCTAGGACGTTCCCAAGTGAATTTGGTGTTTTTGTTCATCTGTTTATTTTTCATGGGGCACGTGTCACAGCAGAACACCATGTGCTGGTCCCATTTCTGCGAAGGGACAGCCGTTCACTCCTGTGGGCCTTGCACGCCAGTGTGGATGTTGACAGAGTAGGAAAAGCAAACACTGTCTCAGCGTTGTGGAAAGGGTTGTGGCCTCACAGTCCCTGGGGGCTGGAACTCCGGAGGGTGGGCTGTGGGCCGCACCTGCTGTCGGGGTACTGCGGGGGCTGAGCACAGGTGAGCCGGCTGCAAGTCGTTTCAGCGTGTGTCTCCCCAGCAGGTCTGTCCACGTCCTCTGCGGCTTCATCGCCGGGCTGGAGTCTGAGTTCATGGAGACGCTGTCCGATGAGGACGTGCTTCTGTCTCTGACCCAAGTGCTTCGCAGGGTGACAGGTACGGAGCATGTGTGGCTGGGCACCGCGGGGGCTCCTCGCTGGCCATCTCTGGACAGGAGCCCAGCTTTGCAAGAACGAGCTTGGTGCTCTGACCCTCCAGGGACAGTCCTCCTGCTGTGAGTGGGGTCACTCGGTTCTTATGTCTGAGGAACTGAAATGGCTTTGCAAACACTTTCCATTGCCTTTTTCTGTTTCTGGGTGTCCTGAGTTAAGCAAAGTGGTAAGACAGGGAGAGCTTCTGAGGAATAGACTCGTGGTGAGGTTTTCTTCCCGGGTGGTTTCCTTCGGTTTAAACCACGGGGTCTTAAAGGGAAGCTGGAATGGGGCCAAGGGCAGTGGGGCCACACTGACGGGCGTCTCTGGGCGCAGGAAATGCCCAGCTCCCTGCGCCCAGGAGCGTGCTGCGCTCCCGTTGGCACAGCGCCCCGTACACCAGGGGCTCCTACAGCTACGTGGCCGTGGGCAGCACCGGGGACGACATCGACCAGCTGGCGCAGCCCCTGCCCACAGACGGCGCCGAGGCACAGGTGAGGCGGGCGTGGGCGGGGCTGGGACCCCTGCACTGGGTCTCTGTGCTTTCTGAAATTAGGAATCGTGAAATATGCATTATTTTATCAGAATTTTACATGCACGTAGCCTAAAGCATCAGAAAACCTTGCAGTGCTGGTACGAATAACAAACTTACAACCCGTGGCGGCTGTCAAGGGCCTCCAGCCCCCGCCCAGCCCTCGGAGCCAAGGCTCAGCTCCGAACATACCGCATCTCTAAGACTCACGTGCATCTGCCTCTTTTTACACAACACTCGGTCGTGGAGAACTTCGGGTCTGTGCACGAGCCGGCCAGACCTTCGGGCCACGCCTGCGGCTTCAACGCTGTGCAGGGGCAGCCGTGGCCCATCCCCCACACCATGGGATGACGACGTCGTTTTGCTGCAGACACCCCGGAGTGGGTCTCTAAAGACCTAGGACATCCTCGGAAGATGTGTAACTATGGCAACGTTGTCCCAGTTAAAAATGATGAAATTTCCTGTGTATGATCTGAAACTCAGGGCTCCGTTTCCCAAGTGCCTCATAATCTCTTCACGGTCTGCTTGTTCCAATGTTGCTCCTCGGATTTTCAGTTCTTGGCATCCCTGATTGACTCTCCCTATGGCAGATAGGGTTTTCGGTCTCTTGCCCTCCTCTGCCCACGCAGCACTCAGCCCTGCCCCAGCCTCCCCAAGTGTGGCGCAGTGCTCTTGGTGAGGCCACTGTTCAGTGTGTCCATCATCTGCTTTGCTCCAGGCCCCGCACACATCTGGCCCGAAGGACACTGTGGTTCCTTTCCTGTCTGTAGATGCGAGTGTGCAACTGTGCGAGACTTTATGCGTGTGTGTCTGTGAGTCTCTGGGCAGGTGTGTGCAAGTGAGCGTGACTGCGTGCACGAGGGAGGGAGTGTGCAGGGCTCCGATTTCTGTGCCTGTCTTTGCCTGGACTCTGCTAACTCCTTCCGTCCTCTCTCACCTCCTCCCCTACCCCCGAGTCAGCTTCGGCTCCTGACGCACAGCCCTCGCCTGTCCTGCGCCCCGTGTCCCATGCGCCCCGTGTCCCGCCTGCCCCATGCATGCACTTTCTGGAACGTTTGTTCCAGTAGCTCCCTGATGAGGGGTACAGGGGAGGTGAGTTTTTAGAGAAAGTTTGCCTGTGTGGAAATGTCCTTCTTCCCTTAGACTGCATGTTCCAGTCCTGCCAGCATGTAACAAACCACCCTAAAACCCAGTGGTGGGAACAGCCACTTTGTTATGCTGACCGGCTCTGTAGGTGGGCACGTGGGACCATCTGTTTCTGTCCATGATGTCTGGGGACTCAGTGGGGAAGACTTGACCTGTGCCGGGGTCACTCGGGGTTGGGGTGGGGGTCGTCTGAGGCTGCTCGTCTTGCGCGGCTGCCCTGGGCTGGGACACTGATGGGACCCCCTGCCTGTGGCTTCTGAGTGTGGCTCGGGCTTCCTCACAGCGCGGCTGCTGCTGCCCACATGGTGGCCCAGACATCCCCATGGAGGAGGCTGCTGCGTTGCCTCCTGTGGCCCAGCTAGGATGTCAGGAAGTGCCACTCTGCCACACCCCACTGCACAGTGGTCACAAGCCTGCTCAGATTCAAGGTCAGGACACAGACCCTGCCTCTCTACGGGAGGCGTGTCCAGGAACTCATAACCCCATATGAGCCGCACGTGGGGCACCAGCCCTAGTTTGAGGAGCACGTCCCTCAGCGTTCTGAACACGTTCTTCAGTGCTGCTCGGAAAGTCCGAAGCCATTCAGCATCCTTCATTTCTTACCTCTTAGGAAGCCTGGAATTATTTCAGCTCCCTGTTCTTCTTCTCTGCTGCTTCCCTCTTTTGTGGGATTTTGTTGTTTGGATGGGGGACTGGTCCCCATTTTTTTTTTTTTTTTAATCTTTTTCCCTCCTAACTTGCATGTCTCTGGGTTTTCACTCTGTGTTTTGGGTGAAGTCCTTAACATCGCATCCCAAACCGTCTGTTGGGTTTCCATTTTGCAATTTCTCTTGATCGTGGGAGTGGCTGCTGTGTTCCTGCTCACGCTTCCTGACCGGCTCAGAGCTCAGTGGGATTCGTGAACAATAAAGCCACACACTTGCCATCAGCTCTGCAGCCGCAGTGAGAGGTGTGCGGCTGCGGCCTGATGCCCGGCACCCTGTGCTAACCCCGGCCTTTCTTTGCAGCTCCAGATACTGTTTGCAGGGGAAGCCACACATCGCACGTTTTACTCCACCACGCACGGGGCTCTGCTGTCTGGCTGGAGGGAGGCCGACCGGCTCATCGCTCTGCGGGACCCACAGGCTCAGCTGCTTGGGCCCTGGCTCTGAGTCCTGCTTCTCCCCTTCTGAGCCCAGCTCCGCCCTCCAGTGCCATGGGGAGGCTGACAGACAGTGTCTGTCCTGGCTTGAGATTTGGGGGTGTTAATGGCAGCCTTTTCTGGTGACTGGAGGAAACTCTCATCTTTCATGTCCCTGAGTCTGGCCAGGGTCTAGCTGGAGCTGAGTGCGAAGTCTTCTTGGAGAAATGAGACATGGGAGGCCACCACTGCTGCTGGGGCAGGCACATAAAGTCTGTTAACGCCTCCGTGTGTCCTCGTTCTTGCAGCTCAGGCCTGCGGCGCCCGTCACACCTGTGTTCACCAGGCCTGGGCCATCGCTGGGCCAGGTGCCCCTCCCGTGAGTTCCCTAGACATTGGGTGCTGTGGTTGCCCCTTGTCCCTGGCGCCTTCAGACATTCCCGAGCTCTCACTGCCGGTCCCAGGACCACGGTGACAGATATTTAGTGGACACCAGCTGTGTGGCGCTGGTGGAGGGCCAGAGAGCGCGGACACAGGAGTACACAGGGCACCCCATCCTGACCTGGGGCCAGAGGTTTTCCAGAGGAAGTGAATAAAAAATCCCTCCAGAGTGCAGGGGGGTGGGATGGTTGGGGAGTCGGGGGAGTGGGGGGCATGTCAGTGCAGTGGGCAGTGTTGGGGTGAGTGTGTCGGGATGCCTGGGTGCTCGGCTCAGCTGACCCCATCCTACCTGGCTGCATTCTCAACGTGTCCCAGGAATGGGTCACAGCGCTGCCACTTCCCAGTTGAGGAGGGGACATAATGTGGAGGTCAAGGTCAGCCTCAAGGCTGCCCCCGCAGAGCTTGGTCTTCTTCCAAGGACAGGCCCAGGGAGGCTGGTGCTGTGGTCAGCGGCACTTGGGAGGAAGGTGTGGGAGCTGCAGGCGATGGGGCTCGTAGCCTTGCGCCCACCCTGAAGCCAGTGGCTCCTGCTTCCCCTCGTGCCTCAGGCTGCAGCCTGTGATGGGCTCTGGTGGGGGCGGTGGGGAGGACCCTGGCTGCAGGCACCAGCAAGCGTGTTTGTGTGTTTGGGGGAGGGGTCTTGGGGCCATGCCTGCCTAGGCTCTTCTCCAGTCCCAAGTTGGCCCCAGCATGCCCTGCACGGACTCGTTCTTCCCTCCCGGGTCAGATGGCCCCTCCAAGGGGTCTTCCCTGCTGCTGTCCCGGAGTTCTGCATGTGTGTCCCATGCTCTGTCACTCGAGTGTTTTGTGTGGGACACCTGCCAGTCAGTTGTGGGAAATCTGGAAGGTGACAGGGTTTTGTTTCAGGTTTGTGGTCCCAGGGCTCTGAGAGATGCTGCTTCCCTCGGCCATCTGTGTTGTTGACCTCCAAGGTTTCTTCAAGCTGCGTGCCTTGGGGAGACATTTCTCGTACCCCAGGTGACAAAGGTGAGCAGGGCACCTGCTCCCCTCTTGGTGGGAGGGCTGCCCTGTGAGGCGGGGCCGGGGACTGCGACCTCGTCCTCATTCTCCTCTGGTGTTTGACTCCTCCCCTGAGTCCATCATCTTGGTCTGGGAGCCGCCTGGGAGGGCTCACCTCCCGCAGTGCTGGGAATGTTTAGTGCTGAGACGGTCACAGTAGTGACATTTTTGTGCTGAGAATTCAAGCGTGTTTGGGATTTTAGCAGCTTGTTCCAGAAATTCCATTAGAGTAACACTCTTGTACTCACCGTGTGCTGAGTAGTTGCTGGGACTCAGAACTAAAGCTAAAACCTGACGCTACACAGAGTACAGGACCGCAGGAATCCTGGCTCCGTGTGTTGACAGTGGAGCAGGACTGCCGTCAGCGTTTCCAAAGGCTTTGTTTAAAATGAGGCGTATTTGAAAAAGAAAAGGGGGATATTACATATATAGACTACATTTAAAGTATTTGAACATTTTAACCAATTTGTAAAAAGGGGACTGCTGAGTTGAGCTAGAAATTTTAAAATGTAGTTAATATTAATATAACTATGAATTCCTTAAAAAAAAAAATTCCATGGGGGCGCCTGGGTGGCTCAGTGGGTTAAGCCTCTGCCTTCGGCTCTGGTCGTGATCTCAGGGTCCTGGGATCGAGCCCCACATCGGGCTCTTTGCTCAGCGGGGAGCCTGCTTCTTCCCCTCTCTGCCTGCCTCTCTGCCTCCTTGTGATCTCTGTCAATAAATAAAATCTTAAAAAAAAAAAATTCCATGAACTGAGGACCCCTGGTAAATCCCTGGCCTGCACAAAGTCCCAGGTTGGCTGGTAGGCCCCCCCCCCCCCCCCCCCCCCCAGCGGCTCGGCGCCCGGCTCCGCTCGCCCCCGGAAGGCTTCCTAGTGCGCAGGCGCGAGTTGCCCAGCGGTCCCCTGAAGCACCGGAACTGCAGGGCCGGGTCCTGGGGCGGGCGGGGAGGTCCGTCGCCGGAGCGGTCCCCCTGCGCCGCGCTGTGCTGGGGACACGGCGCCATGCGGGTGGCCTTGCACGCGCTCTGCGGCGCCGCTGGGGCCGCCTGGCGAGAGAGCTTCCCGCTGGGCGGTCGGGACGTGGCGCGCTGGTTCCCGGGACACATGGCAAAGGGTGAGGCGGGGCGGCGCGGGGGTCCGTCTGCCCGCGAGTGCGCCCCCGGCGTCCCCGCCCGCCCGCGTCCCCAGCACCGTTGGCTCGGCAGGCTGACCGCGCGTGGGGCGGGCGGCGGCGGGGGACGGCAGGGGTGCCCTGGGGTGGCCGTGGGTCCCAGCAGGTCCCTTCGCCGCCGTATTTCCCGAAGTCTCCGTCGCCCCATCGCCACACGGGGACGCGTTCCGGCTTGGACTCGGTCCTCTCCGAGCCGCGTGTTCACCGCAGCACGTTTACCGCGCAGGGGCCTCGCTGTCCCACCAGACCGCCCTAGGAGGCCCTTCCTGGCCGAACGGCCCGTCGGGGAGCCCTGGGCCTCTGGCCGCGGTGGCCGCTCCTGCGCCGCTCCCTTGGCGCGCTCGGGCGCCCGCGGTGCACGGGGCGGGGGGCCGCGCAGTCCGTGTCCCGAGGTCGGCTCCGGCTCCCGCGGTGCGCGCGGTGGGGCTGTGCGGTGCTCCGGGGCGCCCTCGAGGCCCCGGCGTGCCCTCGAGGCCCCGGCGTGGCGGCGTGAGGGGCGCTGAGCGGTGCCGTCGCTGCTTCTTTCCTTGTGTGGCTCCTGGGCGGGGCGGTGGGGGCCTCGGGAGTGGCCGAGGGGATCCCTGGGCAGCAGCACCTCCGTGCAGCGTGGAGGGCCCCTCGCGTCGCGGAGGCCGGGGTGCTGCTTCTGTAGCTGAGACCCACACCCTCAGAGGTTAACTACCCCAGGGGGTGGGGCCCAGACGTGCTGCTGCCCCTCGGGCAGGGCCTCGTCCCTTTCTGGAGGCCCCGGAGGCCCCCCCGCTGTTGAACCGGAAGGAGACACTCAGAGGGCACTTGTCCGTCACGCGACTCAGGACACGTCCCTCAGACGGATTCTTTTCTAGGTGGCTTGTGGTGGCTTGTGGTGGCGTGTCATTCGTGATCGCTGGGTTTAAAGCTATCCTATTTATTATTATTTTTTAAGATTTTGTTTATTTATTTGAGAGAGTGAGAGAGAGCATGAGAGGGAGGAGGTCAGAAGGAGAAGCAGACTCCCCATGGAGCTGGGAGCCCGATGCGGGACTCGATCCTGGGGACTCCGGGATCATGACCTGAGCTGAAGGCAGTCGCTCAACCAACTGAGCCACCCAGGTGCCCCTTAAACCTGTCCTGTTTAAACCCATTAGGCACCTTCTTCTGTTTTCCAGGGCTGAAGAAGATGCAGAGCAGCCTGAAGCTGGTGGACTGTATCATCGAGGTCCATGACGCCCGGATATCCTTCCGTGGTTGTGATCCTGTGATGTGTAAAAAGAAATATGTGTATGTTGGGTCTTTGTCCCTGTTTCTGGCACAGAGCTCTTAAAGCCCTGGGTATTTCCCAAGTGATGAGAGGGATAAAGGTGTCTGTCGATGGGGTGACTTTTGAAAGCCACTAAGTCACCTAGGTTTGAGGGTTGGTTGCCAGTGAAACAGTCCTGCTGTTGGAAGAGTGGAGCTTTTGGTTCCACCCCCTGGACCCCCTGACCTTTGGGAGGGTGTGGGGCTGGAGGTTGGATTGATTGCCGATGGCCAATGATTTAATTAATCAGCCCTGCATAATGAAGCCTCAGTTAAGACCTAAAAAGACAAGCTTTGGAGATCTTCTGGGTTCGCAAACATGGATATAGAGGGAGAGGGGCATGTTTATTATTAAAAAAAAAAAAAGATTTTATTTAGAAGGGGGGTGTGGCACACATGCAAGTACGGGCTGGGAGGGGGAGAGGGAGAGGGGATTTCAAGCTGACTCTGCATTGAGTGCTGAGCCTGATACGGGGCTTGATCTCACGACTGGAGCTGAAATGGACAGTTGGATGCTTAACTGACTGAGCCACCCGGGTGGCCCGAGTGGCACAGGTAGAGCATGGAGGCTCTGTGCTCCATCCTGCGTAACACGGCCTTGTACGCATGTGGCCGAATCTGGCTATTCCTGAGTCGTCATTTTATAATGAGCCAGTAATCTCGTAAGTAAAGTTTTCTCTGAGTTCCGTGAGCCACTCTGGCAAACTCACTGGATCCAAGGAGGGGTTGTGGGTCAGAAGCACAGGTGATGGCCTGGACTGTGATAGGCACCTTGGGGCATGTGTGGGACTGAGCCCTTAGCCTGTGGGATCTGACTCTTTCTCCATGTAGATAGTGTTCGAGTTGAGTTGAATTATAGGACATGCAGCTGGTGTCACGGAGTTGCTTATGTCGTGAGCCCCCTTGCTCCCAACTCTCCCAGAACTGGGTGCGGCACCCTAGTGGGAAGAAGAGGCCCTTCGTCCTGGGTCGCGTGGCGCTCAGGCAGCAGGAGGCATTCCTGGTGTTACCTGGTCTGCGTCTGCCTCCTTCCGGTCTCTGCTCTGGTCTGCTGTACCAGGCTGGTGCCCTCGCCTCTCAGTTACTGGCACTTGAAGCAGTGGTTCTCAGCTCTCATTACACGCTAGGGTCTCTCCAGCAGGCTTTAAAAAATCCTGGTCTGGGCCCCTTTCCAGACCAGTTATCCAGCATCTCTGGCGTGGGGTCCAGGCCTGTGTCTTTTGACACTCTGCATTGGTGCGTAGGGCAGCATCTTTGCTCTGACCTCTGCCTGGCACACCCAGACCTTCCAGTCCAGTCCAGCAGTGGGTTCTCTAGGTGACATATGCAAGCTTCACGTAAGCGTGCCGGCCAGTGGGATTTTCCTCCGGGCCTGAGGCGTGCATTGGCAAGACCCGGTGATCTTGTTCAGTAACGAATGCACTTTTCAGATCTTGTTTTTATTGTATTTGAGTATGTTTGGGTTCTCTTTACGTGATGAAGGTGTTGCTGTGAGAGTTGTTACCAGCTCAGGGATGTCAGACGAGGGACCGTTTTCACTATTTCAGACTCTGGAACTTTTGTAATAAGATGTCAGGTTTATTTACTGTAGGCTAAATATGTCAGTTTACAGGATATCCCATGCTGGGCAGAAGTGTTTGCTGGCAGTCCTGTGTTTGATTAGCAGAAACAACAAAGCTATAGTTGTTACTGTGCAGTGAGTGGACATCTGTCCTTTTGGTTTCTAGACCTCTGTCTTTTCCCCCAGGACATGGCAAGGAGACCTAGACTGCGTTAGGGACCCTGGGATGGAGTCTGGGCTTTTGGTATTGCTTAACCCTTGAGCGAAGAGTGAGATTTGTGGAAAGTCCTTTTGTGTGGGTGAGGCACAGCCCTTAACAGGTGTCCAGACCCAGGGTGTGCTGGAGGCCTTGGGGATCTCACACCTGGACTCAGTAGGAGACGGAGCAGCAGTAGCGGCTGAGTGTTCAGAGGATAACTAGGGGCCGTCCTTCTGCCCGTGTTTGGGTCCTATGAGGTGGGACCTGTCCTGATTCCCTAAGGGTCCCTGGCTGAGGGCGGAAGGGCCCGACAGTGCTGGCGAGGAGACAGAACCTTCAGGGGTGGTTTCCCCGGGGGACCCTCATCTCCTTGGCAGTCACCAGAGGGTGGCAGCGGTGGGAGGTCCGCTGGTTAGGGCAGTACTGGCTGCACCGTAGGGTGGTCACATCATTCATTTTGGACTTCTGCACCTTGACAGCTGAACAAAGGGCCAGTTCTGAAGCCTCTCACGGAGCTTCGCCTTCTGTCTGCCCCGTCGTTCCCATTTGGGAAGGCACGCGGGAGCCGCTGTCCTGCATGTCTGTGGTGGGAACGTGGCGGCGACGAGGTGTCCTTCTCCCCAGCCGGCGGGGAGTTGAGGAGGGTGGGGCTGGGCTGGCGGGGCTGAGACTGGGCTTCCTGCTCTGCTCAGTCCCTTCTACAGATTTCCTTCTGAAGGTGGCGTCAGTCTGGGTAGCAAGGTGCATGAGATAAATTAATGGGCTGGGAAAGCACTGACGGGATTTTTCCTTAATTTTACCACATTCCACTTTCCGGCCGCAATCCTCTGTTTCAGGAAACTCTTGGGCTTAAGCCGCACGTGCTGGTCCTCAACAAAATGGACTTGGCGGATCTGAAGGAGCAGCAGGTGAAGGTGCCCGTCCAGGCGCGGTCCGTGTCAGGGCTCCCGCGTCTGGGATTGCAGGCGTGCGGGGCTGGTTCGCGGGACGGGCTTGCTTCGGCAAACAGCACTTTGTTTGCAAAGCTGTTCCACGCGGTTTCTCAGAATGACAAGCCTCCCTCTGTGTCTACGGTCCAAAAGGCCAAGGTGCGCCTCTCCCATGGGATGTGGCCAGGCTGTGGGGCTGGAGTCCCATGCCCCACCGTGTGGCCTCTGGCCCATCTGGCAGGGAGCACTTGACATGTGGCTCCTGTTGCTGCCGCACGTTCACAGTTTACATCATTTTGATGAGCTGCATTTCAGTGGCTGTGTGAGGCCAGTGGCCACAGGCTCAGGCCACAGGTACTGACCTGGAGGTCTCCCGTGACGGCCGCGCTTGCCCCAGGCGCCCACAATGGCCGGCCAGCCCCGCATAGCCACTGAACTGGAAACTAGAAGGGTGGGGAGGCCCAAAGGGACTTCTTCAAAGCAGGCAGGATCGGGGACACGAGGCACCAGGTGACCGAGGGCAGGGCTTTCCCATGTGTTGCAGAAGTTCGAGAAGCATGGAGGTCTGGACATGTTGTTTTCAAGCACTCTGCTCTTCCTGCCCAAAGGGCCGGCACCAAAGCCTTGTGGGTCGCGGCCCAGCTGCTGTCAGGGTGTCAGTTTGCTCTTTGTTCCAGAATGTTGTTAGGGTTCTTTTCTTGTTTTTAGAACCATTATTTCCTGTTTCTTTCCTTTTGTTTACTTGTTGAGAGAGACAGAGATCACAAGTGGGATTGGGGGTGGAGAAGCAGAGGGAGAAGCAGGTTTCCCATTGAGGAGGGAGCTGATGAGGGACTCGATCCCAGGACCCTGAGATCATGACCTGAGCCAAAACCAAGAGTCAGACGCTCAACAGACCGAGACCCCCGGGCGCCCCTGGGTTCGGGTTTCCTTGTTGATCGTGGCATGTTTGAGTTACGTAAGCCCCAGCCACAAGCCTCTGTCTCAGGGTTTCCAGGGAGACATCCAGCACGGAAGCACCAGAGTTCTGTTCGTTGAGAATCCAAGCAGCAGCGACCCCTCACCCAGATGCAGGCACCTGGGGTCATTTCAAGCCTTCCCGCTGTGCAGATCAGGCAGCTCAGGCCCTCCAGGAGCTGGGTGTCTATGGGTCCCCGTGCATGTGCACATGTAGTCATTTAATCACAAGCTTTGCATTTATTGGTTGAGATTTGAGTCTTAATCAGTGATTGCTTCTGCCCTTAAATGCTAATTTCTGTAGAGTGCTGGGCACTGATGTGACCTACCGTAGGACCACAGCAGGGTCTCCCTGGGCTGGGAGCTGTTCTCAGGTGCTGCTGTGGCAGAGGTCCTGGAGAGGAGGGGTGGAGCCCCGAGTGGACGCCCCTCGTGTCTGCCTCGAGTGCTGGGTCAGCACACCGTTGTGAATTTATGTACTTCAAAGCGTGGCTTCAAATGTGTCTGCTGTGGCCTGTGTCTTAACCTGCATCGCCCAGCAAATAACTAAAATACAAACCTGAACTAGTGAGTGACCTTCTGTTCATTTAGGCATCAACCATGTGTTTAGCCGAACGTCATCGTACTGGTTTAAAAAACAGGGTTCCTACACTGCTTTTGCTTAATGCTGAGACCGGTAACTTCGTATTAACCTTAGGTTGCCTTTGGGCTTTTAGAACATCAGCTATGTTCTGTGATTGGATTTGGGTCATGCCTCAGTTTACAGGGGGGCTGGGCAGAACACTCAGGTGTAACGGGCTGTTTGCTGCTGGAAGTGGCCCCTTGCACACGAAGGTCCTGAGTCCCGAGAGGCAGGTGATGTCTGTGCTGAACCCTCGTCCCCGCTGGAGCCTGGAGTACAAGGGCCCCTGACTGGGACACCTCCCTCCCGCCCTCCCAGGGCCTCCTAACCCTCACCCTCACCCTCACCCTCCCAGGGGCTCCCGCGCCTGCACCGCCTGCCCCCCCCCCGCCAGCCTGACTCGTCTCCAGACCCTGCTGCGTGGCTCCAGGCCAGGGAACGGCCTGGCCTGTGGCGGGGGTGGGGGTGGGGTCAGTCTCAGATCCTTGGATTTTAGCATAGTATACCACCCGTGTTTGCATTTACTGTATAAGATGGAAATACTCTCTTTCAGAAAATTATACAACATTTAGAAGGAGAAGGCCTAAAAAATGTTGTTTTCACCAGCTGTGTAAAGGACGAGAATATCAAGCAGGTAGGCAGGCACCCTCTTTCGCTCTCCAGTGCTTTCGCTTAAATACATTTAAGAAATCCCACGGGTTATCTCATGTTATTATGAGAAGCAGAGTTTCGAGACAGTCCAGGGTTTGCTGGGCGCCCGGGGGCACGCTCCTCTCTGGGCGAGAGCAAGTGGGCTCTGGGCAGCCTGTGACGGTCTGAGGGGTGCAGCGCGGCTGTCGCGTGCGCGCGGGGCCGTGGCTCCCACAGGCTTCTGGCGGGTCTGGGGCCTCGCGTCCGCAGCCGTGTTCGGAGGATCACGTCGCTGGCTGACCGGTAGCTTGGCTAGAGTGGCCGCAGTCAGAGCTGTTGCCCGCTGGGGTCTGACCCACTCACTGATGGTGGAGGGACAGGATGGGGCACAGGTCACCGCCTCCCGCCGTCCCTGGGCCCCAGCACACTCTAAATCCTGATGTGGACAGCCCTGCTTCCCCGATGCTGGACCTGGGCGGACGCCACCCCGGAAGTCCAGAAAAAGCCAGTGTCTGGGTGTTTGTGCTTTGCAGGTCATGCCGCTGGTCAGAGGACTGGTTGAGGGCAGCTACCGCTATCATCGAGGAGAGGTTGGTTGTGGCGCCCGGGGCCGGCCGTGGGCTGGAGCCTCCTGCTGAGGGGTCAAGGCTCAGTGGCTAGCAGTGGCTGAGCAGTCCTTGTGCTGGGCCATGACCCCTCGGGTTCTCTCTCCGCTGCTGCAGGCGCCTAGGGGGGACGGGGGCGGCTGCCCTGCGTGTTCTTTTTCTCGCAGCAGGAAGGGTGGGTGGCCCTGCTGAGGCGGGCAGGGCCTCCACCCTGGTCTTCCTCCCCCTGAACACAAACCTGGGCTTGTGGGGCCCCCAGCATGGGCCACAGGAGGCCGTGGGTGGTCTGGGTGGACCCCTGACTCCCTGCTCTTGTGCCTTGGCAGAACCTGGAGTACTGTGCCATGGTGATTGGGATCCCCAACGTGGGCAAGTCCTCACTCATCAACGCACTCAGGAGACAGCACCTCGGGAAAGGTCCTGCCTTTGCTGCTGCTGCCCTTCATCTCCCTGGCGAGCAGTTGTCTCAGTCCCGACAACAGACAACAGTGCCATAGCCAGAGCCTCACGGCCCCTTGGGGTTGTCTCTGCCCTGAAAGGACCCAGTGAAGTGTCCGATGTGAGGTTAAGTGGTGACACAGAGTCATCCTGTTACCCGTTTTATACTGAATGTACTTTCTTTCCCGAACGTGAGATGTTGGTGTTTGACGCGGGGATGACCTCTCTACTCTCCTGTGGTCTTGTCCTCACCGAGCTCTCAGGCCACCACTGCACACGTGGGACCTGATGTCAGGCAGGAGACATTTGGTGAGGGCCCCTCTCCAGCTGGAAATCTGCCTCCTCCCGGCTCGGGAATGGCCTCCGGGAGCTCCCGGGCGCCTCTGGACTGTGCTCGCCTGGTGTTAGGGTTGTGCAGATGCACCCGTTACGCTCGCCCGCTCGCTGTGCTTCTGTCGTGCTTAGGGTTTTCAGGGTTAGCGCCAGAGCCGTGCTAGCCTTGTTCTCCAGAGGCGTGAGGAGTGCGCTGCCCATGCGCGGGCCCCAGCCGGGTGGAGCTGAGCCGCTAGTCTGCAGCTGGTGTTTTCGGTGCTCATTGCAGACTCACCAAACCGTCTGTTCTTTTAAGTTCATTTTTTTAAATTACAGCTTTTAAAAACGCTGTGGCATGAAGTATATTCAGTGCTGTCCATCCATCCCACTATTCTAGACTTTTCCATTGTCTCCAGCGGGAAGTCTTTAAACAAACCCTAACCAGCCCTGGGCACCAGTAATGTGCTTTCTGTTTGGACCTTCTGACCACGCTAGTGGTCAGCGTAATGTCCTCGGGTCCGTCCTGCGGCTGCCGCAGGATTTCCTTCTTTCCAAGGCTGAGTAATACTCTGTTGGGTTTCTGGACCACAATTTGCTTTTCCACGCACGCCTGGCAGACACGTGGATCTCTTTACTCCAGAGCTGACTGGGCCCCTTGGACAGGAACTCAGCTCACAGGCCTGTCGCGGGTAGCGCTGTGGGGACGGACTTGCAGCGGGCAGGGTTGGTGCCAGGCATGGGGTCAGGTCCTGGAGGCAGCAGCTGGCGTGCTGACATGAGAGCTCTGCTGGGACCTTCACGGTCAGGTGCTTGTCTGCTGGTCCCTGGGCAGGTCTTGGAGCACCTTTCTAGGTGTTTGGAAGAAGTTTTGGTGGAAGAGTCACTGCTGTGAGCTGGTTTGGAGTTGACTCGAGCCCAAGCCCCTGTGGGCCTTCGTAGGGTTCCGTGTGTATCATTTCTTACCCTGTAGCCTGTGTGCCAGGCTTTGTGTGTGACTACCTTTGACGGCCCGTTTCCATCCTGCAGGAAAAGCTACCAGGGTCGGCGGTGAGCCCGGGATCACCAGAGCTGTGATGTCCAGAATTCAGGTAGGGGGCTCGGCTGCCGGGTCTCGAGTGCCACGCACACATGCCTGGTGCTTCCCAAGGGCTGTGAGGCAGCCTGTCTTCTCCACTCTGCTCCCCCTGAGTGCTAGCCCTGCGCCACACACTGAGGCCCTTACATCAAACCCGGGGGACGGTGCGCTTCCACCCCTGTTTTATGGAGCACCTGCCCAAGGTCACACGGTGGCCTGTTCTCCCAGGCTTAGCTCAGCCTGTCCACACACACCCTTTACGCCCTGGGAGGAGAACCTATTGCCCGAATTTATTCTCCAAACTCAGTGGGAACTGATGGTCTGGGGAAGCCGAGAGCTTCCTGAAAAGGACAAACCCTTTGGGATGGGGCCCCAGAACCTCCTCAGAGCCTCAGAACCGAGCAGCCTGGCTCTGGGGGCCACCCAGCAGAGCACCTGGAAGGGGCGGCTGGCCCGACCGCCCTCTGTGTCTACAGGTGTGTGACTGGCCACTGATGTTCCTGCTGGACACTCCTGGGGTGCTGTCCCCTCGGATTGAAAGTGTGGAGATGGGCCTGAAGCTGGCCCTGTGCGGTGAGTCAGGGCCCCCTTAGCGCCCCCTCCTGCCGCTGGGCCTGACAGGTTGTGCCTGCTCTAAGTGGGCCGGCTGACGCGGGCCAGCCCCTGCTCTCACCCCGCAGACCGCAGACCGCAGACCGCAGACCGAGGCCTGGAGAGCTTACCGCCGAGGCAGGGCTGCCAGGAGCCGCAGCGTCTCAGGCTGAGCAGGGAGGGGTCGCTTGAGTGCCAAGGCCAGGAGGATATGCAGGGCTCAGCCTGGCCTCCTGCTTCCAGGAACCGTGCTGGACCACCTGGTGGGGGAGGAGACCCTGGCCGACTACCTTCTCTACACCCTCAACAGGCACCAGCTCTTTGGGTGAGTAGAGGGTCGGGGGCTGGGCGGGCCGTCCTCTCTCATCCTGGACAGACATCATTAAGGAAAACAGCAGCATTCACGTGTTCTTAGATAAACTGCACGTTCTGTGCAGTGTGACACACTTGACTCTTACACAGTCAAGAAAACCCCCAATTTTCGCGCTCTTTGGGGACGGCTCCTCCCTACCCTCCTGCTCCCATTTTATAGACGGTCTCCTGACCCCACATGCCACAGCTGGCGGCCGTCTGCCTTCTGTCCTATCCTCGAACGTCCTAGGAATGGAGTCCCACGGTGTGGTTCCCTGCGCTCGACAAGACAGCTCCCAGACTGCTCCGTGTCGCGCCGCGTGTCGCTCCTTCCTGGCGGCTGCCGCACCGTGTTCTGTGGTACAGACCGATGCACCCCTTTGTTCTCGCCGGGGAGTGTGTGGGGAGCTGGGAGTTCCCTGGACGTCCTGTGTCACGTTGAGGACTCAGTGCCCCGGACGCTCGTCAGTTTTACTGATTTCTACCAAGAGCTTTCGGTCACAGTGACTTTCTGTCTTTTAGTTCATTGGTCACTGTTCGATCTTTCCTGTTTCCTTTTCTGCTTTGCTGGCTTTCCTTCTGTTTGCCACCAGGTGCCGAGAGAAGGTACTGAAGTCTCTGCCTGTGGCTGGTCTGTCTGTCCTTGCGGTTCTGTGTGTCTGCTGCACGCACTCCGGAGCTGTGCTGGGAGGTGCAGGGGACAGTCTGTGGGTCCTCGTGTCCCCCTGATTTGATGCCCTCGTCGCTCAGAAGGGCCGTCTTGGCCCAGGTGGTTCTCTCTGCTCGGACACCTGCCTCGTCTGGTAGGGACACGGTGACCAGCTCTTCGAGTTAACGCGGTGACCCTTTGCTTCTCCTTTCACTTTGTGCTTTAATTGTGTCTCTATGTTAAAAAATGTGTTTCTCGCAGGCTGCGTACGTGAGGTCTTGCTTCTTACCCAGTCTGACCATTTCTGTTTTTTAAGTGTTTGCGCTATTTACAGGAAATGTGATTATTGTTGTCAGGTTAAACTTGTCATCTTATGGGGGCGCCTGGGTGGCTCAGTTGTTAAGCATCTGCCTTCGGCTCAGGTCATGATCCCGGAGTCCTGGGATCGAGCTCTGCATGGGGCTCCCTGCTCGGCGGGAGGCCTGCTTCCCCCTCTTCTTCTGCTGCTGCTCCCCCTGCTTTGCTCTCTCTTTCACACTCTCTCAAATAAATAAAACCTTTTTTTTTTTTTTTAAAGATTTTATTTATTTATGACAGAGACAGCGAGAGAGGGAACACAAACAGGGGCAGAGGGAGAGAGAGAAGCAGGCTCCCACCAAGCAGGGAGCCTGATGCGGGGCTCGATCCCAGAATCCTGGGATCATGACCCGAGACGAAGGCAGACTCCCGATGACTGAGCCACCCAAGTGCCCCTCAAATAAATAAAATCTTAAAAAAACCCAAATTTGTTGTCTCGCCGTCTGCTCCGTCCGTCGTTCCCTTTCCTCTTGCTCAGCATCCGCCTGCCTCTCCCCCTCCCTCCGTCCCTCTCCTGGATGAATTGGACGTTACGATGTTCCTCTGTCCCCTCTGTCAGCCTGTCGTCTGTAACTCCTAGCGGGGTTGCCTGGGTGTTTGAGGAGCAGCTCTGAGTGACAGCAGAGCGTGTCTCGAGTGCAGGCTCCGTACGCTGGTGCGTCTCCGTGCCTCGCTGCATCCGTGGGCTCTTGCTGTTCTGTGTCTTACTGGGAGCGTCTTGTAAGCCTGAGCTTCAGCGTTTGGCTTTTACGGAGACTTCAAGTGTAAGAAACAGACCTTAGCTGTTGACCGATGCTTGGTGTTTCGTGGGTGCCGCGTGCTCCCTGGCGTGGGTCCGGGCTCCGTGCGCTGTCCTCTGGCGGGGGGTTTCCCGTCACGCCTCTTGAACGGTCAGATTTGGGTTGTTCAGAGACGTCTTTCTTTCACATTCATTTTGGAAAGATACTTGCACTGAGTGTGAAAGCTCGATGGACAGCTGTTTCCAGGACTGGAAAGAGGTTGGCCCACCCTGTTCTCCCCGTTTCTGATGAGTAGGGGGTCATGTCTGTCTCTCTTCCTCCAGCTGGTTTTATGACCGCGGCTTCTCGTTTCTTGAGCTGGAGTTTGTTGTGCTCTCGGATCTGTGGCTTTGTAGCTTTTCTCGGATTTTCGACCACAGTTTCTTCCTGTGTTTTCAGCGACTGCCTTCTCCTGTCCTCAGGACTTGAGGCCCGCGTGTTGGCCACGCACCTGCACCCCTGCATGTCTGACCCGCTGCTCGTGCCCCCCAGTGTGAGTCTCACAGCGCGTGTCACGTGGTCTGTGTTTCTTGAGTTCGTAACACGTGGACCGTGGCCACACAAACCGCTCTGCCGTCTCTGCTAACCCTGACGTCTGGGGCGGTTTTGGCGAATGGCTTTCCTCCTCATGATGAGTCTGTTCCCCACTGTCCGTGCGTCGTGGTGGATGCCTGGCTGCTGGGCGTTTGGACTTCTCTCTGTTTGGGTGACGGGCGTCTTCCAGTTCCTGCACAAATCCTTGAGCTTCGCTTGGGACGATTGTCTGGAAGCAGTTCCTTCCAGGCCTGTGGGTCTGGAGCCATTGCCCCGCATGGGACGACGCCCTCCCCTGCCCTGTGTCCCATCCACCTGCTCCCGGCTCTGTGTGAGCGTGGGCCAGTGTCCCTCTGCCCTGCTGGCGGTCTCGCCCAGCCTCTGGCTTCGGAGGATCCCCTTTCTCACGTGTGCTGAGCCCTCATCTGCTAAACATGGAGGCTAGCAGAGTTGCGGCATTCTCTCTGCGGGCAGCTCTGCTCTCTCTGGTTCAGCTGCTGGTGTCTCCGCTCCAGCAGCCCTCTGGGCCCTGTGGGGTCCCGAGGTGCCGAGCAGGACAGTGCCGGGTCCCTGTTTACGTTCTTCATAGCTTGATGCCTGGTGCCTTGAAAACTGTTTTGTGTGTCTTTGGTTGTTTGAGGGGAGGTAAATTCAGTTCCTGTTATTCTCTTTTGCATAGAGGTAGAATTTCAAATTAATTTTTTTGCCTCATTTGTGTGGGAGTCTGTTTGGGCATCTGCAGTCCTGCAGCGTTTCTAGAGAATTTCCAGAGTCCCTGCGGGCGGCCACTCCCGCTGGGTTAGTGAGAGAGCTCTCCGGGGACAGCTCTCAAGATCATCAGGACCGAAGCCTTGTGGGACTGCCGCCCTCGGAAGCTGGACTTGGGACCTGCGTTCTCAGGGTTCAGACCCCTCTGAGATGGGCACTCTGATGCCCACGTGGGGGCTGGGTCCATGTCTTACTTTGCTCGTGCCTGAGCCCCGCTCCCCACTGCGGACCGTGGGGCAGATCCACTGTGTCCTCTGCCTGTGGGGCGGTCCAGGCTAGAGTTTCCCGGGCCCTGGGGTTCGGCAGGTGCTTGGCTGTGGGTGAGGTTTTTCTCCTTCAGCCCTTCAGGGTAGGCCGTGCCGGCCCCGTGCTGGCCTCCCTCATCGGGCCCAGAGCCGGAGTTGTGTGGGACAGGGAGCTCACGGGGGCCACTGGGCGGTTCTCAGCAGTGGTGGGCGCTGTCTGCTGGTCCGCGGGCTGTCGAAAACGCCAGGCACACCTCTTCCTTCTCCACTGGAGAGAGTGCTGGTGATCCTGGGGCTCCTGACCTCGTGTGGCTGCCTCTGGTGGCTGGCCGTGCTGACCCAGGGCTCCAGGCCACCGGTCTGCTCAGGAGTGGGGTGGATGTTGCAGCCATGGGCTCCTGCGGGGAAGCTGGCCTTAGGGCACCTGGCCATGGCTGGCCAAGAGCGGGGACCATGGGAGGGGTCCTTGCTAGAGCTGGGCATGGCCCAGCACAGGTCAGCTCTAGCTGTCCCTGACTGTGGGTGTGTGTGTAGGTACGTGCAGCACTACGGCCTGGACGGGGCCTGTGATGACGTCGCCAGTGTGCTGAAGCGGGTGGCTGTGAGGCTGGGGAAGACGCAGAAGGTGAAGGTGCTCACAGGCACAGGTGAGATGTGGAGGCCTCGTCCCCGGGCCGGGCGTGGAGAACCAGCCTGTGGAGCGGCTGTGGCTGTCGGGGAGGGCATGGTGGGCACACGTGGCTGTTTTGGAAACTGAAGTGCTGCAGAGGACGGGACTCAGGGTCCAGCCTGGAGAGGAGGAGGGCACAGTGGCCCTGCCTTGCGCTGGGTACACCCTGTGTCCTACCCCTTGGGAGCCTCCTGAGGTCTGGGTGCCACGGCCCAGACTCCAGTTTCTTTCTGAATATGCCCTAGGACCCAGGCTTCACTGGTTCCCACCGCCAGTCCCTGAGGATGGGAGGGAGGGGAGCGTCTGAATCCCGGGCCTGCCCTGCACAGAGGGGCCTTCCTCCCCAGACCGTCTCGTTTCCCCCAGGGGACGTGAACGTCATCCAGCCCAACTACCCCGCGGCAGCCCGAGACTTCCTCCGGACCTTCCGCAGCGGGCTGCTCGGCCCAGTGATGCTGGACAGGGATGTCCTGCAGAGCCTCCCCTTGGCAGACCCCTGAGTGGGTCCAGCTGGCAGGGGCCTCACCCCAGCCTGGCCCTTGACACCAGAGATTGGGATATCCCAGGCCCTCACACCCAAGAAGTTGACGCTGGGACTCCCTTTCCCAGAATCTCCATGCTGGTCCCCGTACGGTACTCAGGTCTCGTCTCTAGGAAGGAGCCTGTACCTGCTGCCACCCCACAGCCTGGCCAGCTGCTGGTCACAGGGCACGGTGCCCGGGGTCTGGACATTGGGACTGCTGACATGTTGGAGCTGTCCCTGTGCGGCTCACACCTGCTGAGTTTCTCTTAGGGAGAAGCTGACGTTTTCCACGGAGCTGGCAGCGCAGTCTGTAGTTGAAGCGCTGTAGAAGGCCTGTCTCTGCTGGAGGCTCCTTTGCTGTGCACAGTAGCATGTGGGCCCACGTGTTAAGGCCCGTGTCTCAGCCGGAAGAGTCAGGATGTGAGCCGTGTTGTCGGGCTCTCGTGCTAGGTCCTCCTAACGCCCTGGGTCCTGCAATAAAGACGGATCTGTTTGCCAACAGAGTGTTTATTTCACGACACGACTAAAATGTGCACACAAAATGGACAGAGGTTCCAGGAGCCGTGGCAGAACCCACGGACTGTCTGTCCCCAGCTGCGCACGGGCTGCGATGGTCGCTGGTGTGGTCAGTGGAGAGCTTTCCTGCTGCCTCCGAGCACCTTCAAGCTAACAGGTTGGTGGGACTCTTCCCCAGGGACCTTGACCTACCAGCCTGCATTCCAGCAAAGGGCAGAGGAAGGAGGGGGTGGGGTGGACCTGGTGTCCTGTGGGGGCGTGGCCTTCCTGGAAGCACCAGAGTCTCCGTGGCGCACCTCCCCTCCTGCAGGTGCCCACTCCCGGAGTGCACACACTGGCCTCTCCTGAGGGGACCGGCCCCGGGCACCGTCTGCTTCCCGCTGGAACCCTGACCAGTAGAGCGGGAAGTACGCCAGCGTGCGGCGGTGCCGAATGCCGGACACATTCCCGGAATCAGGCTGGTGTGTGATGGAAGCTCTTGACTCGGGTGTCCCGTTTCCGCCACTTCCACCACGTGGTGCCGGGCAGGCTGGGCCCCCGCTCCTGGCCCCTCAGACAGAGCCGAGTCCCTGTGCAAGGCTGTCCTGCCCGCGGGTGCAGCGGCAGGCTGGTCGCACGGCTCCTGAGGCCCCAGGCAGGGCTCCGCCATGCTGGTCTTTGGTTGCATCAGGTGTGATCTGGAATGGATGGAGTGGCATCTGGGCCTGCTGTGCCCCGAGAAGGCTGGCGCTGTGGGTACAGGCAGAGCTGTGTCCTGCAGCTCTGTGTCCTGGCCTTTGGAGAGCGATGCTTGGTCCAGAGTTCTGCTGGTAGCTCGGAGACCCTCACCCTAACCAGACCTGTGTGTCAGCTGTGGGAAAGCAGAGCGGGCAGGCCCTCCCGCCCCCTCCCCCATGGGAGGTGCTGGCATCGGTCAGCTGAGTCCGAAGGCCCCATGGTCCAGGGGCGGGTGTGAGGGCATATTCTGGGAGGCAGCCCAGCAGCAGGTGAGGCTTTCAGTGAGCACCGAAGGACGGGGCGATGCAGAGGATCTGGGCCTGGGAGGTTGTCCTGCTGTGGGATATGGGGTGGAGGAAGTGGTAAAGAGCCAAGGCCCCCAGGGCTTGTGGCCCGTGACCCAGGCCTGAGGCTTGAGGGAAACGGGCCTCTGGGCGCCTGAGAAGCAAAGGACTGGCTTTCTGCTGAGGGTACTTGGGTGCCAGAGGCAAACTCTTGCCAGGACTACCTGGCACTTCCTTAGAGGCCTCTCTGGGGGTCTGTCCTGTCCCCAGCACAGCCTCAGATGCTCAGACAGGTGTTGGTGGGGGTTCGGCTTCCGGGGGCCTTGCTTTGCTGAGCCCGAGCACCCTCTTGTCTGGCTGTGCCTGCTGGGTGCTGGGCCTGGCCGCCGTCCGCCTCCAGGGACCTGCCTCGTGGCCGTGCTGGTTGCTGGTTCCGATTTGAGATCGGGCCGGCCGCATTCACACCCCCCCCTTCCCTGGGGGGCCGTCTGCTGCTGATCTGCCCGAAACACGGCTGGCTGTCCCGGGAGGGCTCTTCAGTGGGAGCGGCCATGCGGTCCCTGAGGACCAGCGAGCACTGATTCCAGAATGTGAACCTAAACCTTAAAGGAAAGGAAAAGCTCTTGCAAGCTAAACAATGTGGTTTTTTCCCCCCAAAATAGGTCCCAAGAAGAGTTGAGTGACTTGTTTCAAGTGGGAGCAAAGTGGCCCCAAGGGGTCCATGGTCTTGAGAGTGTCCAGGGAGGGGGCAAGCCTCTGGGCCCAAGGGTGGGCTGGCAAGGCTCTGGGGCGGCTGCTATGGCAGGGGTGCCCTGGGAATTACCCAGAGACCCATGATGGGCACGTGTGGGCCCCGAAATCCCCAGACTGCCTGTTGTGGACAGGTGGTAGGCACACGAGAACCTGTGAGAGAAACTTCTTCTTCCCCAGAGCCACTAGGCCTTTGGTCCCTACTGGCTGCTGCTGTGGGGGAGGGCCACGGTGTCCTCAGGGCCACCCCTTGGCTCGGTGGTCAGCACGTCCACACCCCGCCAGGGTCCAGGATGCGGTCAGGGGAGCCGGGATGGCTTGAACATCCTGGTTTGGCACATCTCTCTGGGCAGCCGGGGAGAGATGCTGGACTGCTGGTCACGATGGCAGCACAGGCACCGTCTTTCTGGCTGGGGAGGACCCTGACTTGGCTGTAGGTGGGGCATCCTGGAGCTATGGGCCCTGGGCCTCTGGTAGGGTGAGAAATGGGGAGGCTGGGGAGGGACTTGAGCAGGGCTGTGAGTAGGAGGCTGCCTCTGGGTGAGAGGTGGAGCTGGGCTCCCTGGTTCAGAGGCAGTGGGCAGCGGTGGGAAGGGGGTGCTCAGTGGCTGGAGGTCTCTGGGGCAGGCTGGAGAGACCTGCCTGAGGGCACTGGCTGAGGGCCAGATCTTGCCCTAGCCCGGCAGGGCCTAGGGCCGCAGCAGCCCCAGGGCGCCAAGAGCGCCGCCCAGCAGCAGGCAGAGGTGGGGGCTGCTGGTGGGCCCCGCGCCCGAAGTCCATGCCCGGTAGCTGTAGACGCCTTGGCCCGTCCGGTTGCCACCTGGTCCCGCGTCCTCGTCCTCCAGGTCGTGTTCCCCCGGGCCCGGGGCCCTTCTCCAGCTGGAGCCCGCTGCCAGGCCCGCGGCCGCCCCGGCCGCCCCGGCCGCCCCGGCCGCCGCCCCCGCTGCCGCCACGCGCAGGGAGGAGCCTCCGTAGCGAGGCACCGGCCTCACGCGCACCCTCGGGGCCCCGCGCGCGCTTCCGCGCAACCCTCCCCTGGCGCTGCCGCGAGCCCCTCCACGGCCACCCTTGGCCGCACCGCTGTCGCAGAGGAAGGTGGCGGCTAGCAGCAGAGCCCAGCACGTCGCTGCCGTCCAGTTCATCTTTGTGGAGCAAACCTGCGGTAGAACGGGGAAAGGACCTCAGCTTCTGCGAGCATCAGGGGACCAGGGGCCTTGGGGCCAGGGGCTTAGGGACCAGGGGACTCAGGGCCTGGGGACAAGGGCTCAGGGCCTGGACACGGGCTGGGGGACCAGCGGGCTCAGGGCTTGGGGACAGGAGACTCGGCATTTGGCAGTACAGGGAGCCCTCAGCATCTGGCGGACGACTGGCTCAGGGCTGGGGTGGGCGGGGAGAGGCAGCGTTCAGGCCTAGACAGAGGGTGGGAGTCTTGTTCAGGAACCAGGAAAGGGTGACCTGGAGGGTGAGAGGGTTGAGCACCTCGGGGTTATTCTATGCCTGGGGCTGGAGTGGGTGCAAAGAACGGAGGGTGGTGAACTCCCTGCGGTCGGGAGCTGAGGCCTGGGGGAGGGGGCCCCATATCCTGGGCTGCCGTGGGACAACCTCCACGGCTTGGGACAAGAGGCCACACGGGGGTGGGGGATGTACTTGAAGGACACAGTCTCAGGGACCGAGGGTCCCCAAGGACCCAGATCACCGTCTGGAGAAAGGACGAAGCGTGTGCCTGTGTCAGGCTCTTCCGGCCCTTGGGGGCGGCGTGCACGGCGCGCAGACCCAGAGCGGGGGGGTCCTGGCCTCACCGCGGGCGCAGGCCGGCGCAGGGACTCGCGGCCGTGACACAGTGCAGACCCCGCCCCCGCAGGCCGGGACCCAGGGCACAGTTCCCTCCCGCCCCACCCCCGCACCACGCTCCACCCCCCCCACCCCCGACCGCTCGGCCGAGCAGCTGGGGCGGGGGACTGGGACGCGACGCAGGGCCGAATCCGGGCGCGGGGGATCCGGGTAGCGGCTCGACCCTCCTCCGGGGGCCTCCGATCGTCACGCGGCGCCTCCATCCCCAGCCCCGCGGGTGCCCGCCCCAGCCTTCTGGTGCGCCCGGATCCCGTTGCCCGGCCTTACCCGCCGCGGGCTTCTGTCGGAACCGCGGGCCGGAGCGGGTGCTCCAGGGGCCGCGGCAGGGCGGGAGGGAGCGGGTTGCGGCGGAGACCCTGCACCCGAGAGCGGAGCCTGGGTTGTGCGCGAGGCCTCCGCCCTAGGATTGGGGGCGGGCAGACGCGGAGGCTCATCCCCCGGGAGACGGGAAGGGAGGAGAAAGAGGCAGGCTGAGAGGAGCGCGCAGCCCCTCTCCCTTCCCAGCACCTCATCCTCGCCGCACCCCGTCCTAACTCCTACCCCCACCCCGCCGGCCCCCCACCCCATCTCCTGATTCCACTCGCGTCCACGCCACTCTGTCCCCACCACCCAGTGGGCACACAACCCCATCCCGTTTCTCCTGCACCCAGCACCCCACCCCACCCCCTCCATCCTCACTCCACCCCTCCTCCCCGCTTCTCTCGCACACTCCACCCCTCTCCCACCCTCCTCACCCTCTCTGGTTCCCCATCTTCATCCCTGCCCCAGGCGAAGTGTCCCAGATAAGGGCCACAAAATGCTAGGGCAGCCCCAGAGCCCTAGATCCTGGTGTCCAGTGCTCTTCACTGGAAGGCGCCTGGAGGAGAGGATGGTTATCCAGGGCCCTCGGGTATCCAGAAAGGAGATAATGGGTGACCTTCTAACCATCCTGCAGTGCCACTGCTCAGATCCCTCAGGGAGCCCTCCCGGTGGCCACTGCACAGCAAGGTCCCCCAGCCAGCCAGCCTTCCCAGTCCCTGCTGGATATGACCCTGGGACTCCTTGATGTGGCGCCATCTTGCTCTCCATCTTTGTGGATACCCCACCCAGCCACTCCGCCTGGGGACACCCAGCTCTCCCGATGGCTCTAGGGGTGGACTGCAGGACCTCTTCAACCGTGACCTGACGGGACCAGTTTGTTGGTGTGACGTGACCTCTCTTAGCTTCCATCAGACCCTCTCGATTCCCAGAGGCTCCGAACTGCTGCTTCACGCACAGTCCTGGCCCCCCAATTCCTGTATTGAAGGCCTGACCCCTAGGACCTCAGAATGTGACTGCATTTGGACACGGGGTCTTTACAGAGGTAATTAAGGTAGAGTGAGATTAGGAGGCAGGCCCTGATCTAATCTGACTGCTGTCCTTACAAGAAGAGGACATCAGGAGACAGACAAGCACAGGGACAGCCACGTGAGGACACAGAGGGCAGCCATCTGTGAGCCAAGGTGACAGGCCTCAGAAGGAACCAGCCCTGTGCACACGCTGTCCCAGACTTCCAGCCTCCAGAACCGTGAGAAAATGAGTTTCTAGTGTTAAGCCATCCCAACTATGGCACTCTGTTATGGCGGCCTGAGGAAAGTCATAGAGAACCCGAGGGTTTCTAAAGTCCATATGGAAAAGTAAAAGAAGTACTCATATAAGTCATTTTGAAAAACAAGATCAAAGAAGAAGGACACCCTGTCAGATATTAAGACGCTATAAAAGGTCACGGCAATAAGACTACTAGTCTGGGCAAGAAACAGCCGCGCAGGCAAACCGGGATCACTAACAGACTCACGGAGGAACGCACACGTGCCTGCAGGAATAGAACAACACGGATTAGGGGACAGAGTGGGAAACGGAAAGAACCAAATGGAAATTCTAGAACTGAAAAGATACACTTAAAAGTGCAGCTTAGATTTGGTCAGGGAGAGTTAGTGACCTGGAAGATGAGGAGACACCCAGAAGAAAGCCCGGGGAGAAAGCAAGACAACAGGCTGCTGGCATATAGGGGAGGCTGCCGCAGGCCCGCCCCACGTGGACCCATGGGGACCCCATGTGGACGAGGGGAACCAAAGGAGAGCAGCGGAGGGCTGGGGCAGAGGCAGTGTTGAGGGGCACATGCCGGACATTTTCAAAACTGATGAGGCAAGGCACAATTCTGGAAACATCACACACTCCAGATGCGATAAAGACAGAGAAAAGCACACCCTGGGGACCAGGCACCACACTTCTTGTCAGAAGACCTTGAAAGCTTCCAGAAGTGGGGGAAACCCAATTACCTAAAAGGAGTAAAAACAAGCTGATTTCTCCACAGATGTAGGGAGCAGCTGACAACCCAGAAGTGTGGTTTACAGAGCTGATGGCAGCACTGGTCAGAAGCCAAGAGGCGCAGCAAGTGTCACACAAGCAGCCATGAATGGAAGGGAGGCTGACACAGCTCTGCTGCCATCAGTCCGAGTGGACTTGAAGCTTGACGAAGGAAGGCACAAGTGTCACTGGAGACAAAGAGTAACACTTCTTAATGACAAAAGGTTAAATTTAGGAAGACGACAACACAGTTCTAAATTTCATGTACTTAATGACATAACCTCAAAATAATAAAGCAGCACAGTAAGAGAATATTTACAGCACCAAATCATTCCCATGAATTCAAAACTCTCAATGCCAAGCAAGCCGGCATGCCTGCAGATAGACGCATACTGTCCCAGGGTGCACACCAAACACGTCGCGCCCAGGGCCATGGCAGGGGAGGGCTTGGAGTGTGGGAAGCAATGGGTTCGAGTCAGAACCACTCTCCCTGACCAGGGACAGCAGCCCAGTAAGAAGGAAGGTGCTGGATCAACCCAATTTCTGCCACTAAGTGCCAGAGAACAAAGAAAAGGCAGAAAAGCCAAGTATGGGCATGCCACCTACTCACTAGACCCATCAAGTTTAAAGTCAAATGACATTCCTGTTTCTGAGGAAAGGTGGCAAGTGTGTGGCCTATGGCACCGTCTGGCCTTGCCTAGACACTTCATTCATTGTCCGGCCAGCCGAGGTTGGTTGCTTAGGCAATGGAGGCCATCCACGTGGGCTCAGGAACAGGGCAGGTAGGACCCAGGAGGGCCGGGAAGTGGGGCTGGCCACCATGGAAACTGGCCCTGTCCCAGGTGGTGAAGGGAGTGACAATGGAGCTGGGGTCTGTGCTCCTCCAGGGCTCAGGGCCCTGCTGGGGAGCTGTTCCCCCTCAGGTGCTGATGGGAGAGGTGGCAGGAAGCTTCGGCTTTACCCCGCTTGTCCAGATGCTCTCATGGGCACCCTGGGTTCCTGGCAGCTCTGGCTCAGAGTGAGAGAGCTGTGGGCTGCCTGGTGGCAGGCCGGAGGCTGTGAGCAGATGAGAGGAGAGGCATTAGGGAGCTCTGCCTCCCGCAGATGGTGCTCAGGAGGGACCAGGGGCTCAGAGGAGTTTAGTCAGAGCCTCCCTGACATCTCGATTCCGCAAGCAGTAGATGATGGGGTTGAGCAGTGGTGTCACAACTGAGTAGATCACGGACACCAGCTTGTTGATGTCGAAGGAGCTGGCAGCGTGAGGCCGGGCGTACATGAAAATGGTGGTGGTGTAGAAGGTGGCCACCACCACCAGGTGGGAGGCACAGGTGGAGAAGGCTTTCTGGCGCCCGGCCCAGCCCGGGATCCTCAGCACTGTGACCAGGATGTGTGCATAGGAGACCATGGTCACCAGCAGGGAGGTTGCAAGCACAGCCAGGGCTGCCACGAAGTCCAGAATTTCGATGGTAGTGGTGTCAGAGCAGGAGAGCTGCAGCAGGGGTGAGATGTCGCAGAAGAAGTGGTTGAGGACATTGGGGCCGCAGAACCTGAGGCGGGAGATGAGAGCCATGGACACGAAAGAGGCCAGGAAGCCGCCCAGCCACGCGCTGAGGGCCAGGCACAGACAGAGCTGCCAGTTCATGGTGGCTGGGTAGTGCAGCGGGCGACAGATGGCCAGGTACCGGTCACAGGCCATGGTGGCCAGGAGGAAGCCCTCAGAGGAGCCGAGCGAGAGGAAGAGACACAGCTGGGTGAGGCATCCTGAGAAGGAGATGGTCCTCACCTGTGCTAGGAGGCCAGCCAGCGGCTTGGGGATGGTGACCGAGGTGCAGAGGGTCTCCAGCACGGACAGGTTGGCCAGGAAGAAGTACATGGGTGTGTGCAGTTGCTGGCTGGCTCGGATGGTCAGCATGATGACCAGGTTCTCCAGGATGGTCACCAGGTAGATCGTGAGGAATAACCCGGAAAGCAGCCCCCGAAGGTGGCACAGCTCTGGGAAGCCCAGCAAGATGAATTCTGTTACCAGGGTCTCAGTGGAGTGGTTCATCGCCCTCCCTGGTGGGGAGGTCTCTTCTGAGCACCCTGGAACAGCAGAGAGAGGCAGGTGTGCTATGTCCGCTCTCCAAGGTGCTGCCCTACTGACCTGTCACCCCCACCCCCAGTCCAACATGCAGTTTCCCAGATCTAGCACCCGGCAGAGGGGCCTTGGGTACAGGTACTCTTACTCCCGATTTCCTATAGAAGCCCGCAGGCATAGGCTCTTCCTGCCCCCCACCCAGTACAGGGCCAGGTGTGTGTGCATGCACGTGCGCACTTATGCACAAATGCCCATCCTTCCAGGTGCACTCACACCCCCTGGGTGTGCACTTCTTACACACTCCCAGGTGTGCACCCCCCTCCACATCTCCTCTGCAGGTGCATACATACTTCCACACACACACCCCTAGGTGTGCACAACACACACAGCAAGAGACGAGACCCATTCTGCCCACTGTGTCTTCTCGGGCTGTGTCCCTGGGCACTATCCTGGCCTCATCCAGGTCTCCTTCCAGAAGAACTCTCCTTCCTGTTGTTCCTGCCTGGGGAAGGACACCACTTCCGTCTGACCGCCAGTGAGCTCTCTAGGGCTGAGCCAAGCTGCCAGGGGGTTTGCAGAAGGAAGGGAGGCTCATCCCCAGCTCTGATGTCCTCAAGTAGACCATGCCTGAGCCAGCCTGAGGTCTTTACCCTGTGTTTTCTGAGCAGCAAAATGGCTGTTTGGGGATGGACAGAGCAGTCCACTCAGAGCCGCTAAGGGGCTGTGCTGTTTGGGACTTTGGTAGGACACCCCTGAAGTTAGGTGTCTGAATGATGGCCATATCTCAGGGAGAGGGTGGTTGTCCCCACCAGCGGCCTAGGGGCTCCTCCAGGCTTTCCCGCCCCTCTGGGGGGAGGGGGAGCCGGAAGCTCCTGCTCATCCCGGGAGGGGACCGCGCTGGTGGAGCTGCCCGCCCCCCCCCCCCCCCCCCCCCCCCCCGCGCCCCGCGGACGGAGGGTGGGCTGCGCAGGCCGCTCTGAGCTGGTGGGGGCACAGGCGCGGGTGCGGAGAGATGAGGACCGCCCCCCAAAATTCTTGGCGAAGTGTCTCCAGGACAGAGGGTGGGGCGTCGGTCGGTGGGACGCTCTTGGACCCGCGGGCTGAGGCCGGGGGCTGGGGTCCAGGAGCTCCTGCCCCGCGCTCTGTGCCGCCCAGGCTGACGGAGGGTGTTGGAGACCCTCCCGGAACCGGCCGCCTCGCCTTCCCTAGGCCCCTGCCTCAAGAACAACCTCGCCCCCGCACAAGATGCGCGGCCTCCGCCGGGTCTCCGCAGGTCTCCGAGGGTCTGTGGGAAGGTTCGCCGCATCTCCCTCGCCCCGCTGCCTCTGGACCCAGGAGGCTTTTACCAGGCTCGTTCGCGGCCTTGCCTCCCTCCCAGGTGTGCGGCTCCAGGTCGGGAGGACTCTAACTGCAAATTCCCACCTGCGCGGGACTCTCGGGACTCTCTGAGCAATTTGTGAAGGGCGCGGCGGGGTCCCCGGAGGGATGGGTCCGACCTGCCCCCTTTCTCCTCAGCGACAAATAGGTCTTTGCAGGTCGCCTGCCCACCAGGCGGCCAGGCGTGGGGGAGGCCAGTCCGCAGACCCGCCCCCAGTCTCAGGGCCCTTCCGCGGACGTTCAGTTTCTTCTTCTCCAGGCGCGCCCTTTACTCATCTGGTTACAAAGTAACTCAGCTAACCAACCACCGTAAACCTCAGCTCCTTTCCTCCCCGACCCTGGGCTCCCCTCTCCCAGGGCCCACTCTCTGGGGTTCCCCTGCTGCTTCAAGTGTTCTAATTAGGACAAGATCTTTTAGTGCCTCCTGTGTTCAGACTGTACGGAAGGGTGTCCTGCTCTATGTTGGCCTTCAGGTCTTGCCTCTTCCTGTCACTGAGATCCTTGCTCTTCTGGGCAGCTGCATTTGCTTGAGGTCCGCCGGTCCGGGCAGCTGCGGGCTCTGGCTCCTTCTGCCTGGTCCCCCTCCCTGTCTGCTGGCTTGAAAACCTCGCAGTGAGCCAGGAAAGCTGAAACCGTCTCTTTGCTTCCCTTCTCTCAGGGTCACTGTCTTTTCATTGCCTCACTTCAGGGTCTTGAAAACCACTTTTTTTTTTCTTTCACAATTTTGTCTGTTTCCTTCCAGGTGGGACGGTAAATCCAATTTCTGTATTCCATCTTGGCTAGAAGTGGGAGTCCAAGTCCAGTCCTCCCTCACACTCACACCTGCCTCAGTGTCCCCGAGCTCCGGTGTGTGTCTCCTCCCTTTGGCTCCCAAACCAGGCATGACACCCAGAACTCCTGTCCCTTTACCTGCCCTGTAGGGACACGGTCCTGCACTGCCTCTTGTCCAACATCCAGAAACAGCCGTTAAACACATACAGTATCACTGTGGAGGGAGCTGCTGACCTGTTGTCCAGAGTGGCTATGCCACTTTGCCTTTGGTATAGAGTTTGAAAAACTGTCACTCTAAAAAGTTTGTAGGGGTATCTCCTTGTGGTGTTGGGTTTTTAAAAAAGATTTAAAAAAATATTTTAAAAGATTTTTTAAAACAGCGTGGAGCTCGAACTCACAACCCAGAGATCAAGGATTGCACGAGCTATGGACTGAGCCAGCCAGGTGCCCCTCCTAACGGTTTTTACCAGCATTTCCCACTGACCGCTGATGTTGACTGTGTGCTCACTACCCAGTCTTCGGTGAAATGCCCATTCAACTCTTACACCCACTCGCTTATTCAGTTGGTAGTTCCTTTACCTTTCAAGTTTGAGAATTTTAAATTCTGAGCACAGATATTCCATCAGGGGTTTGATTTGTAAATGCCCCCCCCACCCCCAATCATGGCTTGTATTCGACTTGACCAATAGTCTTTCAAAGATCAGAAGTTCTGCAGTTGATGAAATCCGGTTGTACTTTTTTCTTCTATAGATTGTGTTTTTAATGTTGTAGTGAAGAAGTTTTTGCTGCATGAACATTTTCTCCATGTGTCTAAGGTTTCATACTTAGGTCATTGGTCCATTCTGAGTGTGGGTTACAGAGTGAAGTTCATTTTTTGCGTATGGAGAGCCGATTTGTCCTGGCACTGTGTGTTGAAAATTGAATTACCTTTCATCTTTGTGTGGGTGTCGTTTCTGGATTCTCTAGCCCATTCCAATTCTACATGTTTATCTTTCCCCATACCACACTGATCACTACAGCTTCATGGGCCTCACAGCCGGGTTGAGGTACTGTGGCTTCTCTGACTTTGTTCTTTTTTCCAAATAGCTTTGGCTCTTTTAGCTCCTTTTCTCTTCCATGAATTTTAGACTCAGCTTGTTTTTTATAAAAATTCTGCGAGAGGTGCACCTGGGTGGCTCAGTGGGTTAAGCCTCTGCCTTCAGCTCAGGTCAGGATCTCAGGGTCCTGGGATCGAGCCCCGCATCGGGCTCTCTGCTCAGTAGGGAGCCTGCTTCCTCCACCTATTTGAGATTAAAATAAATAATATCTTAAAAAAAATTCTGTGAGAATTTTTTTGAATCTATAGGTTAGGTTGGGAGCATTAGCGTCTTTACAATATTCTCCAATCCATGAACATGGTACGTTTCTCTATGTAATCATGGTATCTTTGATTCCTTTCATGAGTGGTTTGTAAGTTTTAGCATCTTTTGCAAGTATCTTTCTTTAGGTTATAGGAACTCTTTTTCAGTTCCTTTAGGATGTGTTTTGATGAACAGTTTTCAAAATTACTTTAGGACAGTTTTAGATTTATGAAAAAGTTGCAAAGATATTACAGACAGTTCCCATACATGCAGTAACCAGTTTCCTCCAGTGCTAGTAACTTATATTAATTAGCATGGTACATTTCTTGAATTAACGAACTGATATTGATATGTTCTTATCAATTAAAATTTATACTTTATTTGGATTTCCTTTTCTGGTTAGGTATTAATTTCCATTTCCCATTTTTATTTTAATTTTTAAATTTTTTATTTAAGCTCTAGTTACTTGACATACAGTGCAATGTTGGTTTCAGGAGTAGAATTCAGTGATTCATTACTTACATACAACACCCGGGGCTCATCACAGATGCCCTCCTTTTTGTTTGGATTGCCTTAGTTTCTATCCAATGTCCTTTTTTTTTTTTTTTTTCGTCTCAGGATCCAATAGAGGATCCCACATTACATTCAGTTGTCATATCTCCTTAGGCTCCTCTTGGCTGTGGGTTTCTCAAACTTCCCTTATTTTTATTTTTTATGAACTTGACAATTTTGAGGCATTCTGGTCATCTGTTTTGTACAATGTCCCTCACCTGGGATGTGTCTCATGTTTTTAATATGACTAGACAGGGATTGTGGATCTTCAGAGGAAGACCATAGACGAGAAGTGCCATTCCCAGTACACCACATCAAGGGCACATGTTATCTGCATGGATGGCCATGGCTGAGGCCCTGGCTGAGGCCGTGTGTTGGGTTTCTTCACTATCAGGTTACCCACACCCCCTCCATACTGCCCTCTTTGGAAGGAGGTTGCTCGCTGTGCACAGCCCATATTGAAGGGGTGGGAAGTCGTGTTCTCCCTCCTGGAGAGAGGAACATGTACACAGATTATTTGGAATTCTTCCTCATGGGACGTTTGTCTGTTCTTTCCATTTATATCAGTTTATATCATTAGAGACTCATGGATAGCTGTCTCATACCTTGGGTTATGTTCCAGTACTACTGTGCTTCTTTTGTTGTTGGCCTAGCTTTGGCTGGTGAGAGCACTCAGCTGTTTCCCGGGCCCCTTTGACATACCCCACCGTTGTGTTTTTGTCTTCCCGAACACTTACTACATTTCTGGCACGAGGCGATGTGCCAGATGTGCCAGGCTCATCCTGCACTCTTCCTTCCCCAGCTGTAGATTCAGCTGTTTCCCCAAGGATATCCGGTGCTTTGTATTAGACATGGACACCTGGGCCCCCACTAGGCAAGCTTGTTGCTCCTGAGTGTTGTGTCTTCCAGGCCTTCCCAGCAGACAGAGAA